ATTTCTTATAATCTCTTATAATAAATTATATCTATAATAATAGATTATGTTCCTTTTTGCTGTCAAAAACCTCTAAGAGTGAGATGTCATGTCACTCTTTGGTTCACCTGAATACAAAGTTTTACCAGGAAACAAAAATTTTTTGCTTGGCTTTGTCAGTCAAGCCTGCTCCATTACAAAACCTTCTATATTCCTTTAAAATTCGAAGCAGCATTTGCCACAAGTCGTTGAAACAGCTAGGATTCTGTACAATTTCCGACTTTTTCAAAGTTGTTATTTTAGTATTGATCAGTTTCTCAATGTAACATGTAACAAAGAGCTCTGTCTTGGTCTCCTTCCGTTAATGAGTAGTAGTGCGAGACATTTTATCGCCCCCTTCGAGAGAACCGATAACCCTATGAAATATGAAACTGTCTCTGTCATGTTTCTCTCTCAAAGAACTGACTGTGTCTGCTGCTGGTATGTGAGAAGACTAGAAGGCAATTTTCAAAATGTATCGGAAATCGTACAGAAAAAAATAGAAAACATTTGTTGATGGCAAACTCACCCTAGTTGATGTAGCCTGCTCATTAATGTCCTCCTCCTCCCCGTCGTCAACAACTACTACCGAGTTGTGATCACCTTCTTCTTCTTCGCTGTTTTTTGAAAGAATGATCTTCCTCCGACTCGGCATCAACGACAATGTCATCAGGCCTGACGGTACTCATTCTGACTTGATTCAAAGATCGCTCACTGTTCACTTCGGCACTGAAATAAAGGATCACGGTAAACAATCAAAATTGAGAGCAAGATAGTTCAGCCGCTAGACGTTTTAAGAGAAGAGTTTGCAGAAAACATGAATTTTTTAAGCGTATGTTAAAGCATGCCAAATATCTTCAACCGAGCAGCCCGAAATACATCAAAACTTTTTCGAATTATTAGACACGGCAGTAAGCATAGTCTTTTTTGGCGTTTTTCTAAAATTTAGTTCTTCGGCGGCCCAGATATCGTCTTCTGGAAAACTGTTATCTTCCTGGGGCTGGGTAAAAATATCCAAGTTGTCTATGGCTGTATCTTTGTTGACCTCTTCCTTATTGTTGGTGTAAACTGACGCCGTCGAACCGTACTACAAAAGTCTGGATGGATGCTTATGAATAAGAGCTGCTAGCGTGCACTCGAAATGACCTCAAAGCTCCAGGTCTGCGTGCCCTAACAAACCCTTATTGACTGAACCAGTTAAAGCCATCCTTGCCGAAAACTCTTTGAGCGTAAGACTCATTTGGTTGATTCGAAACCAATCTCCTGTTGGGTCGGTCTTGAAAAAATTCATGTAGAGATAGACATTGCAACTATAAGTTTTGATGGCAAATCGGAAGAATCGTTCATTGCGACTCTCACGAAGCGACCGTGTTCGATTGTTTCAAGTCGTCTTTAGCTGATATTCTTCTACTTTTTGAGTCGTATCCTGATGTAGTATGTTGATCCTGTTGCTTTAATTTAGTTTTTGACCAATCGCTATTAGTTAACCTTGCTTTTTGTTGCTGTGAGTTCATCTTTCTTCTGAAACTCATAATATCGTTTAGACAATCAATGTAACCTATTGTTTTACATACACGCCTACCAAAATAGAAAAAAAATTAGATGTTCAAAGTTAGCAACTTTGAAACAACACCTGTAAACGGATTTAAATCACCAGAGTCTGTAGGTATTTTAATCAGTATTTTATGTATAAGTTTTTTTGTCAAGATTTTTTTTCTTTTTTTTCTGTGATCTATCAAACACTCGATGAAGACTGCCGGTGGACAAATTGGCATTTTCAATTGGCCAGAACATGTGTCTAGAGTCAGTCGAACAGCTGAAAACTTCTCAACAAGGGTGGTTTTGTGTAACCCACATATTCTGGTTCTATGAAATCACAATAGATGAATACTTAATGATTACGTCCTATAATAACCGGAAACGCTGGTTCGTCCAGAACTAAATCCATGTGAATTTTATCCTGAGATCTGCTCAACCCCAAAATGTAAAACAAATCATTTGAACAATTTACAGTTTGCAATTTTTGGATTGCTGTTCCAGATTCCTTATTCGTTTTTTCCTTGCTAGTCATGTATTTACTATGTTGGTCTTTGTTGCAACGCCCGTCAGAAAATGAATTGCTTTGTTTTTGATATATATCAAACCTTCAAAATTTTTGTAGTTTCCAAGAGGAACTTGTACGTTTCTTTATCATTTGTTATAATAGTTGAAATAAAAAGTCCCAGTGCTATGTTTCTAACAATTTTAGGATGCGGTACTTCTGCAAGACTTACACACAATTGCTCTTCAAGACTCAAGGGCTTGCCTAAAGCTGTACGGAATGATGAAAGAGTGATTTCAGTGAAAGTGTCCAAAGATACATTTGATGAAAGGTCAACCGTAAAGATTCAATTTTCTAAAAATCACTAGAAAAAATTAAACGTTGAACAAACCTGTTAAAAAATTGCGAACTTATTGCTGACACATGAGAAACTTTTTTACATTACAAAGCTTCCCAAACACAACTAAGCATTTCTCCACATTCTTCTGGTTGAATATTGTTTAATCATGTTTTTAGACTGTTCACTTTTTGTGAACAAAATTTTTTGAAATCTCGCATGGGGCGAACAGTTCTGAAACGTTCAAAAAATTGTTCTTAGATTTTGAGCAGTTTCGATCAAAATATAAACTAGTTGACAAATTTTGACAGTGATATTTTTATTTTATTTTGTAAAAAATTTCAAATGAAAAGAAGGTACCCATTACCTTGTTGTGTTTTGGAATAAAATGTTTTCCTCCGTAAAAAAAAATATTCTAATCGAAACAAAAATTTATCAATCAGATCACCAGGTTTCTATTGACCAATTACCAACCAGCAATCCTGATCACTCCCTCCTGATTACTTTTTCGATTTTATTTTTTTTATACATGTAATTCATCTGTTCACATTTTGTGAGCAACATTTCTGAATTATGCATGGAAAAAACAATTTTTTAAACGTTGAAAAATTGTTCACAGAGTGTGAACAGTTTTTTTCATTATAAAAATTAGTTTAGGTACCAAACAAGAAGGTACCAAACAACTTGGTGTGTTTTGGAATAAAAGTTTCCTCCTACAAAAAAAAAACAATTTAATAGACACAAAAACTTATTAGTCAGAGTACAATGTTTTTTTTGACCAATTACAAGCAAGCATTCATATGCACTTCCTCCTGATTAATCTTTTCAGTTTTAATTTTTTATACATGTAATTAATCTGTTCACATTTTGTGAACAAAACTTCCTAACCATGCATGGGGAGATTAATTTTTAAACGTTGAAAAAATTTGTCCACAAAATGAGAACAGTTTTGTTCAATGAACAAACTAGTTGACAACATTTAGCAGGGATAAGTGTGCTTTTTAATTTTACGAAATGAAAAGAAAGCAACTAACAAATTTGGTAATTTGGAATAAAAGATTTTCCTCCTTAAAAAAATTTTCGAATTGGCATGAAAATTGACCAATCAAAGCAAACATTCTTATTCACTCCCCCCTGGTCAATTTTTATTTTCTTTAAATTTTTTTTATACATGTCTTTAATCTGTAAAAAAAATTCCTAACCATGTAAGGAGGCAAGTTCTTAAACGTAGAAAAAATTTTGTTCAAAATGTGAACAATTTTATTCAATGTATAAGCTAGTTGACAGTTACTAGCGGGAATATTTTTAATTTTTAAATTATAAATAAAACAAGAAGTCAACCAACAAGTTTGTGTGTTTTAGAATAAATTGATTTCCTCCTTATAAAAAGATATTCAAGTCGACATAAAAACTGACCAATCACAAGCAAGCATTCTTATTCACTGCCTCCTGGTCAATTTTTTTTCTTTTTTTTGATACATGTCTTTAATCTGTATCTATTTTCTTAAATATGTAGGGGGGGGGGCATATTCTGAAACGTAGCAAAAAATATTCTTCACAAAATGTGAACAAGTTTATTCAATGTGTAAGCTAGTTGACACTTACTAGCAGGAATGTTTTTAATTTTTAAATTATAAATCAAAAAAAAGTCAACCAACAAATTTGTAATGTTTGGAATATATTGGTTTCTTTTTTATGACGAGCTAGTCAAATCGACAGCAAAATTGACCAATCAGAGTACCAGCTTTCAATTGACCAACCACAAGCAAGCTTTCTTATTCTTTCCCTCATGGTTATTTTTTGTTTTCTGTTAGTTTATTATTATATTTTATTAAATTTATTATTATAAGTTTTATTCAATGTATAAACTAGTTGACTAATTTTAGCAGGGATAATTATGTTTTTTAAGTTTAAAAATGAAGGCAACAAACAAATATCTTTGTTTTGGAAAATAAAATGTTTTCTTCCTTACGAAGAAGAGATTCAAATTGACACCATATTTGACCAATCAGAAAACAAGGTTTCAATTGACCAATCAAAAGCAAGCCTACTTATTCACTCTCTGCTGCTTTATTTTTGATTTCTTTTATATTGTTTTTATTTTTTTATTGATGTTTTTAATCTGTTCACATTTTGTGAACAAAATTTCTGAAGCATGCATGGGGAGACCAAGTTTTTAAACGTTGAAAGCATTTCTCCAGAAAATGTGAACAGTTTTATTCAATATCTAAACTAGTTGACTAAATTTAGCACGGATAATTTTTTTTATTAAGTTTCTGAATAAAGCAACAAACAAATTGGTGTGTTTTGAAAAAAAAGATTTCTTCCTCCTTACAAAGAAGATATTCAAATTGACACCAAAATTGACCAATCAGAATACAAGGTTTCAATTGACCATTCGCAAGCAAGCATACTTATTCAAAAGCATACTCTCCTGGTTCATTTTTGTTTTCTTTTAATTTATTTTTGTTTTTTTTTATACATGTTTATAATCTGTTCACATTTTGTGAACAAAATTTCTTAACCATGCATGAGTAGAACAAAGTGTTAAACGTTGAAAAATTTTGTTCACAAAAAGTGAATCTAATTTTTTATACATTAATTTGTTAAGCACTGCAAAAATCGATTCACAAAGTGTGAACGGCACTATGCAACGTATAAAGCGAGCAATAAAAGGCAGTGAAGAAAACTTTGTCCATGATTGTCAAATTAAGTAATTTCTCGTTTCGTAAAGTATTTAAACGTTTTTTTGAAAACATCATGAAATCCTTCCGTATGAGTTTAATCGTGTGTTCAAACTTCATCTCTCGTTTATCAAAACTTCTGAACAACTCTCAGGGCGTCATTCCGGGAGAACGCAGTTCTCGTGTCTGATAGCGGACGTCTGTTCTTCGCCGATAACTTCAATGCCCCAACTCCACTTTTCATACCCAGCTACTTGCAATTTTTCTTCATGAAGATCTTCGGCTAATTTAGCGTAGGAATAACAACCGGCCAAGTCTCCAAAAGCACTTTGGGCATCTTTAAACTTCTGTTGGGTTAATTTCATCATCGGAATGTCGACACCAAGGTCATCGGCTAGTTGAACTCCGTTTGCGATGTCTTTGTTGTGGTTCTGAATAGTGAAGCTTGTGTCGTACCGCCCCTTGAAAACCTCAGGAACGCCTGCAAGCATAATTGACCAGTTAGCCTGTCTGCTTACATTCAAAGTAATAAACCAAGTAATAAACATTCCACCCACCAATCCAGTTCAGGGGGAATTAAGTTCACTTGGCTACTGGAACAAGTTGTGTATTGTTTTCAGCCAATCGGGAGCAAGTAGTTTTTTCTTTTCCTTCGATAAACACGACATTTTTTCCTTTTCCTTCGATTTAAGTCTGATCAAAGACAAAGAGACAGACAGATCTGATCTAGACAGTGAACTTAATAACGAGCAAAACAAACAAAACGAAGGCATTTTGGCCGGTAATTGAACAAATAAAGCAGTAAACGAATAGTTGTTTCGCAATTAGCTTGCCCTCAAATAAAAAAAAACGACTAACTGTTGTAAAAATGATAATGATTCAATATTCGGCTAAAAAAATTTCCTAATTGCTGCCTTTCTTCTGTTTTGCTCGCCTACTGTCTCTCATGATTGCCAATTAAGTTCACTGTCTAGATCAGACCCGTTGGTTGGTTGTCATTCACGTTAAAGCTTTTTTTCTAACAATGCAGGGTTAATTATAACGTTTATTTAACGATTTGGATCATGAAACAACACTTTTTACCAGTTTTTATTTAAGTAACCGCCTGTCGACCATTTATTGCATTCGAAACATTTGAAATAGTGGTAAAATTTTAAACGGCAGAGTTCGAATAAGGTTTTTGGGCTGCAGATAGACCACTGGTTTGCGATTTATGTTTTGACCGAGGCGGGTCGAACACATGTCAGGTTTGACCGAAAAACCAGAGTCAGAAGGCCTTATAATCGAACTCAAAGACGAGACGAGACGAGACGAGTCGGAACATAAAGTCAACACAAAGTCTTGTATGATTCGAAAGGTATTGTTGTCTTGAGTTTAAATTTGAAAAGATATTTCACCTGTGATTATTTTTTGTAAAGTTATGGGGTTTAAAATATTGCCATTTTGGCCAATTTGGGACAATTGACGCGCAATATATTTCGCGCTATTAACGCGTAAGCGAGATTTAATCCGTCTTAGAAGTTGTTCCAAATTGGTGTTTGAAAAAATATTTGCCATAATTGATTTGTTACCTTTTGTACTTTACATGTCGTGTGGATGATTTTCATAAAAAACTTCAAATTTTTGAAAAAAAAGTTCATTTTATTTTATTACATTTATTTTATTTATGCTATTACTGCTCCATAAACCTTAAAAGGCAGTCGGAACATTCAGGGCTTCGCCTTGATACGAGCAGTCTTGTTTCTTTTTAGAGTACCGAAATTAATAACAGGATTTATTTAGCCTGGGGAATTTCAAGGCCCTTTCTGGCCAGAAAACCAAAAAATAGCGTGACGAACAGATCTGACTGTCATCACAAACCATTTTCTACGAGTAAGCACTATACGGTGGTTTATAAACGAGCCAAAGTATAAATCAACCGAAGTACCAACCAGCCGAAAATACGTATGTGTTTTATAACAGTTATGTAACAGTTACGAAAGTTATGCAAATTCATTCAAACGTTGTAACTTTTTGGCTGGCTTAAATACTCCGCGCATGTTCGGCTGGTTTATTTACTCTCGCACTATACATATCTCTTCTGGTGCATCCAACAAGGTTCCAAAAAGTCCTTCAAATCATCAACTTAGATTAGAAAACTCACACTTTGGTCAGAATCGAATGGCCTGTTATAAGTACCATGTAATTTTAATTGAAATTAAGTTGTGGAGTACAAAATCTTTGTTGATTTCACCGGTTTCCCATGCGAAGCTGTTTCCTGAGCTGGCTCTGATTGCATGGAACACCTTATTCAGATCCAGACCCTGTCGTTTAGCAACCAGAAGCATCTCAGTCATGGCCACGATCTGTCGCAGAATAAATAACATCCTTTTCGTTTCAACTATCTGCGCGGCGATTTGAGTATAATTTTTAAGTTCCTAAGTTTTGAAAAAGTTAACTATTTCATTATTTATTAAAAGCTGCGTATTTCAGACTAAAATTTTGTTTACTAAGCAATTGAAAATAAATTATGAAAAAGGCTCTCATTAACTTAACTCATTTTATGCTAAAGGACTAGACGAACTGAACTGTTAAGCTTGTTCGAATAATCAACCGCCTTGGACTAAATAGTTTTATCCAAGGATTTCTAGCTTATGAAAACCCAGAGTGTCATTGGCAAATACCACGAAGTTTTCAATTTAAAATCTTTAGTGGTTGACAAAAAAGCCTGTTTGTTACAAATTTAGTTGTATCTTAGCATTTGAAGGCTGAAAATAAAATTTTGTTTTTGAAAAAAAAAACATTCTCAATTTTGGGTAGAAAACTCAAACTGGACTACGTTATAGACCCAAAACATCAAAACTCAAGTTTTTTTTCCTAAAAAGTTTATTTGAGCATAGAGTCGAGTTTGTAATCAAAGAAGGGGTGAAATATTTTTACCTCAAAATGGAGAATGCACAGCATACAATTGCACAACATTCATATATGAAATTGTACGATGAACACTGCTTTTGTTCAAATTTTTTTCTTTTTTCTGATACCAGAATTAATTTTACTTAATAAAACTGCCACTACTTTCTATTCTTGGAGTTTCAAACAAATTTCTGATCATTTTTGAAAAAAAAACATTTCGATGGAAAAAGGCTTATCATACAATTTTTTTATATGAAAATTGTATGATAAGCATGTTTTCAATAGACTCCATATGATAAATTGTATGATAAGCGTTTTTCTTGTATAGACGCCAACCAGGGAACACTTAGTCAAAATTAACAAGTCGAGATGTTGTGGAAACGACAGTACTAAAATCATAGTTAACAGGGGGTGATTTGAAAATTCAAATCTTTCATAATATATTATTTGTCGGCTAATCTTTTAAATATTCCACAATTCACAACCAGGCCAAACAATGTTTTTTGAAGGAAAAGGGCATTTTCACGGCGTTCATGAAAAATTTTACCATTTAATTTAAGTTGCCGTTGCATTCTATTTATCAAACTGTACGATGGTTGGCGCCAAATTCTCATGTTGAAAATTTAGCCAAATGGAGTTCATAGCCACAGTTGGCAACCGGAATTAATGGAAAAACCAAATTTTTACTGGGGATGGCTAGAATTGTGACAAATTCGAGTGAAAACTCGTATTTTTCCAAGAACCAAATCATAACAAAAACTTAGTGGTACGCAAAACATTGAAATCACAATCGCAACGCTTTCTAAGTTTTTGCAAAAGATTGGAGGTCAAACAGCTGCAAAGCAAAAATTTATGCTCTGAATGACGGAAAACCGGGATTTAAATCTTCTATGGAGATTCTGAGTGTTTCATCTAGTTGTGGACATTCATTACGAGGCCAACCTGTGTTTTTGTGACTTGTGAGCGGATCCCGCTGCAAAGACGCTCTCTTTGTTCTTCTTTTGGTTTATCGGTTTTTTTTGTGATCGGCGTGCGCGCTGTTCAAGCTACGCACGCAGGGCATAGGCCCATTGGAGCGACGAAAAAATTGCAATTGACGTATGATTTGTTTATAGAAGCGATCTGCTAACGTACCGATTTTTTTTTTAAACATAATCATGACTAGTGTTTGATTAAAATTTTATCTACAAATCTCGGTTTCCCAAATAACGCCTTCTTTTGAGCTTTCATTTTTTTCCCGGAAAAATGGTTTCAATTAAAGGAGTTATTTCAAAGTTTTATTGTCTTTTTTTTTCAAAAAAAAGGACAGTCGGGAGGATGTGCAGACCACGCACAGGCGTGGGTTACCTGGTTCGAGCCCGATGGGTAGCGAACAATTTTCATCTATTTTTTTCATGGGTTTATAAAAAGAAAAAAAAAGAAAAAATCGTAGCTTTTAAGCTGAGAAAGATTCAGATATGTGGTTACATCTTTGATCACTTATTTGACAGGCTGAAAACCCTGGGCATGAATTTCGTGTATTAGATGACGATTTGAGAAAAAGGTTTTCTGTATTTGTCCCATTTGTTACTTTTATGCCTGTGTGTCAAAACAAATCTGCAGGTCTTCTTCTTTTTTGTACCAAACAGTCAGTGTATAGCAAGCAATCATAGTGCAGTGGTAAAACTTTTGATTAAAAAACCACAATCTGCAGTTCAAGACTGAGTTTCAATAACGAATTTTTTTAAAATATTTTTTTGTTTCGAACAATTAGGAATGTTTCAACTATATTTGGAGTGCTAGCATTTGGAAAAATCAACCTGCCAAGCAACAGAAAAATATCAAAAAAGCCATTCTATGAAATAAAAATTGTTGTTTCATTCATTACTGAACAATTTTTTTTAATTCCTAAGATTCATTTGAACAAATTAATAGCTCATTTACTCCCGCTGCATCCTCCTGAGACTCAAACACCAAATTGTGGCCTATCCAGTGCACAGGTTGGACTCGTTATGTTTATTTTCCGATTGAGAGTGGTAGAAGAGCTTTTCTTATATAAAATATCTAAAATCTCTAAAATCTTGGTCAAAATTTTTTCACGAAATCCTGCAAAATTTGGAAAAATGAAATTATCCATCTTTAAAATTCTTGAAAGTTTTTATTCTTAATTTTGTCATCTTTGTTTTTTTCCAGGATTATTTGAAACTTTTTGGATAACTTTGCAACAGAACCTTGCAGAATCTAAGTGGGATTTTATTCTGCTGATTAAGTCAAATGTACGTATTTATTATTAAGTGAAACATTTTCAGAAATTTGTAGATGAAGAATTTTTTCATGTAGTTTGGAAAATAGCGCTTCTTCAGCCTCCCCTTGGAAATTGTTCAATGAATGATTTGAAAAACTATTGACCGGTATCTGCTTTGTGCTCATTATAGTTAATTCTCACAACAATTTTTGAAACTATTTCGAATGAACTCTTGATTGATCGAAGTGAAAATTTTATACATCAGTGATCGCATATATTGCCAAGTCTTTCCATTCAACAATCATAGCATTACTTTGACAAAATTTATCATGAAAAAAAAACAGCCAGTTAATTTCCACAGAAGTCATGTGAAACCAATGATACTTCTTATGACACCAATGATACCATGTTTCATTTCATAGCTCATAATTATCTATTCAAAAAAGTTTAAATCTTGAGAACTTATTTTTAAAGCGCTCGCAACGGATTTTAAAAAATTGGGAAAAAATTCAAGATTTTTGCAAATTTTGTTTTTTGTCTTCAAGATTCTTGAAGTTTTCTTAAAGATCTTTACCGGTCTTCAAGATTCTTGACACGATCTTGCCAAGTTTTTGAAGATTTTTTCTAAAGATTCTCCAAGATTTTGCTAAGTTACTAAGATTGCTGGGCTTGGAAATCAATTGTGGAACTCAAGGAAAAACTTTTTGCAGATGTAATTTTTGTCATTTAATTAATTGATATGCTTCCGACTTTCATGAATCAGTGTTTCCTGTATGTAGATAATACCAAAGCGGCTGGATATGAAAACACTATTCTGAAGGAAGATCCTTATATTACATTATTTATCTGGGCTAAACACGAAAGAAGATATTTTATTTAGAAAAAGTTTGATCCGGGATCTTCGCCTGCAATTTACAGAGTAATCGTAAATGCAAACAGACAGTTAAAAAATTTATGAGTTCATTTTGTAGCCACCGCTTTCTTGCGACAAAAAAGCCCTTACCCTTGCTTACTTTTTCACACAACCATTGTCAATAACCATTAGTTTTGATTTCGAGTATCTTTAAATAGCATACATGCATCCTCCCGTAATTTTTAATGAGTTTGCATCACCAGTTCGGAATGAGTAAAGAATTAATTGCCGAAGTTCAGAAAGAGTGCAGAGATGACGTTTAAAATGGTACTCAAGAAAAATCACCTCAACGATCTCGAGTATTCTGAAATGCTCTTGAAGACAAATCTGTTACCAATTTCTTTGCATTGAGAAAAAAAAAGATCCAATCTTCATGAACAAAACTTTAAATGAAAAAAATGTCATCGCATGGATTGATCACTGATAATTATGCTCTGGTCCAGGAAAACACCGATCTTCTCCTTGAAACTTTCTCTGAAATTAGAAAACGGTACAAATGAAATGCCAGCAACATTTCTATGTGCGGAGCACTAGAGCAAACCAAGATGTGCTCTATTGGGTTTTCTGGTTCCATTCCTTTAAAAGAACTTCTTTGATAAAGTAACTAATGCATTACACGAGGGATAAAACAAAGAGTTCAGATAAAAAAAGTATCGACAAATTTGGTTCAACTTGCAATCTTCTTGGAAAAAAGTTGTCGTATTTAGATGCGACCTGGGTTCACAGTTTGAATCAAATGAACCCTGAAAAATCTGGAGATTAAAACACACGAAAGAAAAAAAGACGAAAGCAAATGCTTTAGAACATCTAACAGTAGTAACAATCTGAAAGATTAATTAAAAGCAACATATTGATATGATGGTTCATTAGAATATCAGAAAACTTTCAGTAACAGGAATTGATCAAACAGCAAAATATGTCTAAAAAAATTGAATGTTGAGTATTGTGAACAAAGAAGACAAAGCCAAGCTATTTTGGGTTGAAGTCAAATAATTTTGGGCAAGAACTTGCCGAGATAGCCAAGATATTTACCAAGATTAAGCCAAGAATCTACAAGATCCTTGAAAGAAACCAAAGATTGATAGATCTTGATAATTTAGGACTCCCCGGGTTGAAGTCCCACCGTTAAATATCGGTTTTTCTGTAGTATCCCAGTGATCGCTATTTTCCAGCGCTGACTCATGCATGAATCAGAGTTTATTGTTTAGCTAAGCTTGCGATATTTCAGGGCTGAAAATCAGAAGTAAGACTTAAGAAATTTTATTGAAAGTGTGAATTATTAAGCCCTATAATTATAGCAGGTAAAGCTACGCGTCGCAGAGGTAACATTTGTGACTACTAAGCGAAAGATTGAGGGATCAATCTCCGTTAGATCCCTGTTTTTGCTCATTTTGATAAATTTTTATTGCTTTTTCAAAAAATAGCTAAAATAGCGTGAATTCATCGATAAAATCTTCTAATGTGGTAATGAACATCGATAATTCTTCGATGAAAATAGCCGTTTTGTTCACTTTTTATCGCTTATTTTCAATTTGAGCTCAACCCGGGTCAAGATTTTGATAAACATTTTTTGAAAAGTTTTTCTTAGAGGTTTTCTTACATTTTACTAGACCTAGTTGAACAAAAGTCGCTAACTTAAAACTTCGTTTAATATTAATCTTACATTTTCTTACAAAATTAGGCTCTAACAATGTTACAAGGTAATGATTTTTTCTTAAAAGAAATTTATAAGATAGCGATTTTTCTTAAAACAAAGATGTAAGATAGGAACTTTTCCTACAAAAAACGTAAAAATTTTTTTCGCGTTTCTTTTGTAATACAATCTCTTAAGCCAATCTCCAAATTTCTCCGCTGTCGCAGAGTACAATCATAGAAACTCGTAGCCCAAAAGTTTTTTTTTGCTACATGAGCTTACCGGAAAACCCATTACCTTTAACAGAGTTAATTTTTTTGCTGATTTTTAAATTGCTTTAGTCAATGTAAACTTGAACCCCACATACAACACAACCAACGCTGTATAACATGACTCGTCAAAATAAGTTTTTTTTATCTCCAAAATATTAGTCAACCGCTTTTTACTTATAACTAGAAGATATATTGGAAAAAACTCAATTTTTTTGGAATTTTTGTGCAAAACGCATACATTAGAACCGCTATCTGAAAACTTTTACATGCATAAAAATGAAATGAAAAAAAGAAATTTTTCCAAAATTGAATTTTGTCTTTAATTACTGTAAAGAAACATACAATGTCATTTCCGCGTTTTTTTTAGTTTTGGGAAAAGTTGCTATCCTAGATAATTTGTTATAAGAAAGTTGTAGGATAGCGGAAATTTCCTACAAATCGTATAAGAAATTCTAAGATAGGGGAAATTTTTGTAAGAGGGTCAACCTGCGAGAAATTTAGTCATATTGGGTTATGAATTTGCATCTTGTCGGTACCCTTGTTTTTTGCTATTTCCTTGGCGATAAAGTTATCATAAACGCGGGAAATGTTCGCAATTAATTCAATTTAAGTGCAATCTAAACTATTATAAAACGTTCAACATATGAGTATGAGCGAAAAAGTAACTGCGGCGCTAACTTAAAGCCATTAATACTGTAATCAGTTGAAACTCATTAAACTTATGTTTTATTATGGCTTTTAAAAATTTTTTTAACTAATTTTATATACTTTGTTAAATACCTTTTTATAACTAAAAATCATTGCATTTTTGTTTTAGATTTTTTTGTACGTCTCTTTTCCAGTTCCACTGCCCTTTTTGATTTTTTCGAAAACTCGATATACAAAAAAATCTAAAATTGCTTCTGATGTTCTAATCTGAGATTAAAGGTGTCAGCATTAACAAATGAACTGCTACATCATGTTTTACATGAAAGTTGTCGTATGAACAGTTCATCAATAATTATATTTTGAGGAGACTCTTCATTCTGTAGACTGCTGTCCTTTTGCCTGCCACCAGGCAACACATTTCACCTCTCTTCAGAGCAGTCAAGCCTGCATCACATAAACGAAAAGTTTTTTTGTATGTATTAGCTGGAGGGGGTGGGGTTTTGTTACTTAACACACAATTATCAATTATGGTTGCGAATTTTCTTAAAAGTTCGTTTTTATAATTCAGCCGTTTTAGACAGCCGAGACACATCTTTTTGTCAAATTTTATTAAAAATATATGTTAATTTACAGGGGAGATCGAGCATCAAAAAGTACCTTTTTTGGTCACATGAACTAAAAACTGCTCAAAAAGGCATTTCCTTCGAATAACTGCCTGCGGCGCAGACATAGTTTCTTCTCTTAGAACAAAAACTTTCAAAATTGATCAAAATTCTAGCCATTTTGCCTCTTTAAAAACTTTTTTTCTGGTTGTTACATTTAAATTAAATTCGAATTACGCTGCCAGAATTAGGTCTTCCCATTCAGGGGCGGATCTAGATTTTTCTCGAGGGGGCGGATTTTCAAAAAAATTTCGAAAATTTCGTCGATCTTTATTTTAGGTCGACCAAATTGATTTTCAGAGCTCTCCCAAAGCCTTACAGAGACCCTGTTTTGGCTAAAATTTCTGCGCCGCAGGCAAAACTTTGAAAAAACAGGCCGAAAAGGCGTTTTTAGGCAGTTTTTGGGAATTTTTTTTTGGCGCACGCTACCCCTTCCCCCTCAAAATAAGTAAATATTGGCGCCAAAGGCGCCTTTAGAAAAGTTTTAAGGTCCATCACCAAAAATGGATATCTCAAAATAGTACAAAGGGGGATCCTTTGGGTCGGCAGGGGTTCGAAGAAAAAGCTGAGGGAAGAAAAAGCGTCCGCCACCCCTCCCTCCTAAATCCGCCGCTGTTCCCATTGAATAAAGGTAACTATAACTTAATTATATCTGTAATTGCATATAGTTATTGGTAATGGGTGCATTTGAGTTCAATCTCCCCCTTACCTCCAGTGATTGGCGCTTCGATGAATTGAGCACCAAGACACGTGACTTCTCTGTCCAGCTGCTCATTCTGAGAATGGATACTGGAAGTGTGATCTATCCAGTACTGTCCTAAGAAAAAATTTTTAAGTTAAGTGGGAAAGGGACGTTTCTCAACTTCGTCCAAACATGGCCATACTTTTGACCATAATACATAATCAGGTCCAGGTGTCAGGTCACAGCATTAAAGTGCACGTAAAGTCCAAGCGAAACAGTACCCCCCCTTATTTTTTTATAACTGTCATACCGCTACTGCAGTAGCAGTAATTGTCTATGTATGTACAACCAACCTATGGTGCTTACTTATTACTTTTATGGTATGCTCAAGGTCATAGTGTGTGATGACATTGAGACTAAGTGAGAGATCAGAGTTCGTAACACTGATCTAGCTCTCAGTAACAAATTGAAACAAAAGAAAAGAAAACCTAAATTCAATATTCCAAATACAGTATTGAATTACAACTTGTTTTCAATCGATATCGCAACGCATATCACATGGCGCAGCCAGCAGGATTCGCAGCTCAAGATAACAGAACGGATATGGGAATTCCGGTATTTTGGGCGTCAGCGAATCTACACCCTCCGTGGCAATTCAAAATCTGGTTCGAACAATTTCTAATGGCGGTTACGGTCAAAGAAAATGTGAACCCAGAGATTATATTGGAAGAACCAAAAGACATATTAGAGGAACCACCACCTTGCCCAGAAACACTCAGAGAAGGAGAGAATGAAGATGCGAGGAACGCTAGGATTCTTAGAGATAAGCTAGCAATGGATAGAGTAGTATTGGAGAACGAAGAGAGAAAGACAAGAGGCCCACGAGTCGGATACAATGTTTTCTACAACGAAGTACAAAAGAAATTGGTGTCCAGATTATTTTTGTCTTTGGATACAGAGGGAAAGAAAAGATTCCTACAAAAGAACCCGCATGCTGAAATATCGAAAATGACGTTCAGGGAATTTACAAACTTGGCAGAAGTTTCGTTTCAAAAGGTGAAATGTGTAACATACGAAAGATACAAGCTATTTACGAGAATGCAAGAATCTGGAGAATCTCTGGAATCATTTCACGCAGCGTTAACTGCACAAGCAGCCCGATCAGAACTGAGAGCATTGGAAAATGAAATAGTCCGCGACCTGTTTATTTCAAAAATGAAAAACATGACATTGCAGGACACGCTGACATTCGAGACCCTAGACCCGGAAGAGGTTCTGAAAAGGGCTATAAAATTCGAACATAGCAAGTTAACCACAATGGCGTTCCAAAAGGCTAATGCGGCGGTTACAGGGGGATCAAGTAACAATTACACCTCGGGTGTGAGAATAAAACAAGAACCTGTAATGGCAGTTCGAAATTTGTCGGGGACAACAAAAACTCCAAACAGAAGGGAATCGAATAAAAGACAAAACAATAACAAGAATCAAAACACGAAAACAAAACCATGCAATAGATGTGGAAAGACATTTGACCAAGGACATCTGAAAAATTATCCAGCGATGGGGAAAACCTGTAAAAACTGTGGTAAACCCAATCATTTCGCAAAAATGTGCAGATCCCAACAAGTAAGCGAAGTTGCGGAAGACTCGGAAGGATCGGTAGAGGAATGCGATCAAATAAGTGAAAGTGTTGGGTCAAATAGTGAGTTTGAAGTTATGTCGATACAAACCTATCAACCGGAAAACGAGAGAATTTCAAAATATGTGAAAGATCGAATCAATGAAATGAGGAACAATTCAAATGAAAAAATGATGCGAGTTCAGAAAATAGATTCGATTCGAGATCCAACATTGAAACGAGTAATATCACTAAAGGCCTTGGTACGAATAGATAACCAAATAATTCAATTAACAATGGACACGGGAAGTCCAGTTTCATTTCTCAATTTGGCGACAACGAAGGAAATTATGGAAAAATCAAACAAAGTAAGATTCATTCCGTCAGATAAACTGAATTTACAAACCAAATTTGTTGACTACAACAAACAACCGATCAGTATACTGGGAGCCCTAAAGACCAATCTGAGGTCAGCGGGCTGGGAGGTAAAAGGCGCCACCTTTCTGGTATCAGAACGAAAGACCAGATGTATCATGGGACTAGACTTGCAAGGACAAGTGGGAATAATTACTACACAAAAATCACCGCCCAAGGAACTCACCAGGTTTGACGTGCTCATGTGCGAGCAGTCATAAGGTTGGAAAGAAAAATTTTTCACTCAATTTAAAAACTTATTTGAAAGACAAGCAATTTCGAAAAACCACATTGTAAGTTCAAAATTTAAATATCCATTATGTCCAATTCAAGAAAAGGGGAGAAGAATCCCAATTCACATACAAGATAAAGTCGAAAAAGAAATTGAGAAGTTGTTGACAGAAGGTCATATAACAAAACTTGATAAATGTACGAGTGATTGCTTTATCACTCCGATTGTGATAACAGTAAAGAAAGACGACTCAAAAAATTGGCAATGGACGCGAAGCCAATCAATAGACAATTGTTCAAAAATAAATACCAAATGCCGAATGTAGATGAACTCATTGATGAGGTAAGCCAAATTGTGACTGAAAAGAAAAAGACTACGCTATATTTTTTGGTGTTAGATTCGAAATATGCGTACAGTCAATTAAAATTGGCTGCTGATACAGCTAGACAATGCAACTTCAATATTGTTGGCTGGAAAGCAACCGGAACCTACAGATTTTTGACAGGGTTCTATGGTTTAGCAGATATGCCAGCTGAATTTCAAAAGGCCATGGATAGAACTGTCAACCACGCTAAAAACACGTTCTGTTTTCTGGATGACATACTCATTGTGTCAAAGGGAAGTGAAACTTGGTAGAAGCAGTATTAAAGAAATTGGATGCGGAAAATTTGGTATTGAAACTATCAAAGTGGGAATTTTTCAAACAAGAAGTGAATTGGTTAGGTTATCACCTCTCAGAAGCAGGGGTTAGACCAAAAATCACTAAAACGGAAGCGGTGGTAAATTTGAACCCGTCGAAATCGCTTAAACAGCTAAGGTCATTTCTGGGAAGTATAAATCACTTAGCTAAATTTATACCTAACGCAGCAAGCCTGACTGAAAAATTAAGACCACTTCTAAAAGAAGAGAATCAAAAGAAAAAGCTAAAAAACATGAAACCCGGTAAAAAAAATTTGAGTGGGTGGATGAACACACGGTAGTATTTAATGCTATAAAAGAAGCTGTGGCAAATATAACAAAAGTACATTCTTACGATGCTACCCGAGAAACACGATTTAAATGTGATGCTAGCCATGATGGGCTAGGGGCTACTTTAGAACAACAAAATGATGAAGGCCTGTGGGTCCCAATTTCATTCGCATCCCGATATCTAAATGCCCAAGAAAAAAAATATTCAACAAATGAATTGGAGTTACTGGCAGTTGTTTGGGCAGTAGATAGATATAAACACTACCTTTTGGGAAAACCATTTACCATTGCAACAGACCATAAAGCGCTTACATCAGCACTGGATGTTAACAAATCGAACAAGACCTACCAATCACGTTTGACCCGTTGGGTTGACCGGTTACTGCCATATCAGTTCAAAATAGTTCACATTCCGGGGAGGGACATGGGCATAGTTGATTATTTATCGCGTGATCCTTTCAATGATCACTGGCCTGAATCAGAATTAGACGAAAATTTTGTGGTAGCGACAATAAACTCCTTTCATGAAGCGTTCGACTGCAGGAACAGTAGGCTTAAAGAAACTGGGTCGCTCAACCGGAACGAAAACGTTCCAGAATGTTCTAGAAGGAATGCAAAGAAACAGTCATCAAGTAATGGTTGCTATAGCAACCAAAACGGTCAAAAACGAACAAAGCTCGACCGGAACGAAAAAAAAAACAGTTTTCACGACTGCAAAAACAGCTAAACACTGCAGCTCAATATAAACAGATCATTTTTTCGTCAATTCAACCCAACAAACAGTCGGTCTCAAATAACTCAAAAATCGTAAAACAACCAGTACTAGAAACTCGGAAAAAAAACAGACTCAAGGAACGAGATGTCAGGAAACAGATCATACGACTGGTGGTCGGACTCACCACAAGAATGGCGAAACGAGAAACGCGAAGAGAGTCTAATGGATCCAAAGTGGAACCGCTCAATATCCAACACAAACGAACTTTCGGAAGAAGAGGAGATCACAGAGACAGTAAAGCGTACAAGAAAAATCATCAGAGGTGGCCGGAAAAACAGAGACAGCTCCGACAGTGAAACACGACAAGCATCACGGGTGAAATGGCAGCTCGAACCGGATCAACAAAGAGAGGCAGATCAAAGACTACGCTCATTCTGGCAACTAATAGGCGGAGAAGACAATATACGGGAAAATAGAGAGCTGTTGGCACACACCCAAGAAGTCAGGGACAGCTCGGAACATGAATCGCGTTCAGCATTGACTAAACCAATCGCATCGGCGGAAAGGAAACTAAGTGAGGTGCAGGTGATAGAAATGGAACTGACGACTACAGAAGAGGCGGAGAGTGAAGAGGAAGTGTGCTCAATAGAACCAACGAATAGACTGGGAAAAACAAAACTGCCGAAGCAGCAACAAGAAGAGACTCTGGACAATTTAGCAAAACTGTTCGACAAAAGTCTACTAGCAGAATTAACCACCGAAGACACGTGGATGGACCGCCTTAGACGAGTGATAGAAAAGAGGGGACAAACAAGGCTTTGAACTAATGGGACCTTATACAAACCCGTTGTGGTCACAGATGGCAGTTCAGGACGATTGCATCTTGGTGAATAACCGGCTAGCAGTACCAGTACAACTAAGACAAGCTGTCCTAAAAAGAATACATCGAGGGCATCCAGGCCAAGAGGCTATGCTGGGAGCAGCGCAATACCTGTGGTGGCCACACATGAATAAGGACATTGTGAATCTGGCAGACGAGTGCCGTAGCTGTACCAGATATGGTAAGAATGTAAAATATCTTATTTCGAAAAATGCGTCAAAACCACTGCCACTGCTCACGCAGCCGGGACAGGAAGTACAATTAGATTACGCGGGGCCCATAGAAAATCAAAAAGAAAAAAAATCTACCTCTTAGTAGCGATAGATCGATTCTCAAAATTTCCATCAGTGAAGGTTACGAAATCTACAAGTGGGAAGTGCACAGTAAAATTCTTGAGATCATATATCGACACACATGGGATTCCCGAATCAATTCGTTCGGACCAATTTTCAGGTTTTAAGGGGAAAACGCTAAAAAAATTCTGTTCGGAACTCAATATCGAGCAAAAATTCTGTCCGATGGGGGACCATCGAGGCTGTGGTTTGGTCGAACGTACAATCCAAACTATAAAAAGAAGACTGGGGGTGATGATGGTCGAAGAAAATCATAAATCAATCAAATTATGTCTTAGTATTATAATGTAAATTTACGGTGGAACAAGCAGAAAACCATTCAAGTATCCCCATTTCAAGCGCATTTTGGCAGACTACCAAAAACAGAAATTAAAATTGTGAGGGATAGGTTTTTAAACAATTCTGACAATTTAGACAAACAACATTTGGAACGCTCAGCACTGACGGCTTCCCAATTGAAACGTAGAATTGACCAGTCGAGAGAGAACCTCAAAATTGTACGCAAGGGACAACTCAGCAGAGATACAAGCCCACTGCACAAGCAGCAGCTAACATCGGACAGAGATAAAGAAAGGGCCAAAGCTCTAAAGGAGTTGTTGGAGGCGAACGCCGGCTGGAACAACGAGAGAAGAGATGCGGCTAAAAACGATATCAGAAGATTAGTGGACGAGACGGTACTACTCAATCCCGATCTTCGAAAGGAGATGATTTACTCTTGGGAGAAAGGATTTGTGGAAGACAAAGTGGAAAATCAATGTAAATCACCACCTAAAACAATACTCAGAAAGGACCCACTAAGAAAAAGCGGACAAGCACTAACCAAACAACTAAAAGGTAAAATCGCTTCCGAAACAGACTCAACGATCAAGACGTCTACAGGCTCGATCTATAGGAAATCGGATATTGCACAATCAAAAACGGTGCTGACACAAGAAAATCAGCGAAGCGCGAGTAAAAGTCCATCGGTGGAACCTACAAAAAAGTTTAAGAGGATCAGTTCCCCCGAATGACTCGAGGAGTTGGGATCAGATGAAGAACTACAACTAGATATGGAGATCGCAGATACGATGAATCCCATAGAGCGTTTTCAAAAGAGCCAAACAATAGTGACTTCAAAAGACACAGAAGCAGGGGGAGGTCTGAACTTGGCAATCAAAAGAGCAAAACCAAATCTGGCGGGCCCAAAATCAATTACAGAGGAAGGCGACACCAAGAAGTCGGAAAAGAAAGGGAGAGAAAAAAAATCAAAACAAGCAGCAACAGGGGACAAGCCAAACTGCGACGGCAGTCGACCCCAAACAGGAGCAATCCACGTCATGGCCGGAAAAATTAGACGATAAAAATCAGTCAAGCTCTACACCTAAATCAAAACAGCGGTCAAAATTGAAATGTATTGATTCCCAAACACCCCTAGAGGACATAGTCGACACATTCCACAATCGCAATTTAGCACCGTCCGAGTGGGAGAAGTATGCAGACCAATTGGTAAAACGAGGAGTACAGCGAGTTGCAGACGAAATCAGAGGAAACCCACAACAAATTTCGGAAAAAGATACAACTTTCGAACAACCACAAGGATTTTCGGATGAGTCGAGTACTGAAGAGTCGGGTATCAGAAGAAGCTCCAGGCAAACGAAAAACAAGGAACCGAAACGCTTTGGAGACCCGATAAAGCATTCAATTAAAGAGATATCAGAAAACCTAACAGGGGGAGCACTTCTGAAGAAAGCACTTAAGGAATATAGAAATCAATTAAGAGACTTCAAGGAACGAAGCGATAGACCAATGGAATCAAAAGTAAGACGACTCAAAAGACACCTCTTCATGCGAAAATTTGGGTATGCTACACTAGACGAAGGGGTTGAATAGACGAAGGAGTTGGGAAATAGAGTTGAAAGAAAATTGAGAATGCTATAAACTAAACCGTTAAATAACCCAGAGACTTTCCTATGAACTGAGTATAATGAACTCTTTTTAAATAAATTATCCTACTTATGTTGTATAATTTATTTCTTCCACCGAGGGGGGTGTGTCATACCGCTACTGCAGTAGCAGTAATTGTCTATGTATGTACAACCAACCTATGGTGCTTACTTATTACTTTTATGGTATGCTCAAGGTCATAGTGTGTGATGACATTGAGACTAAGTGAGAGATCAGAGTTTGTAACACTGATCTAGCTCTCAGTAACAAATTGAAACAAAAGAAAAGAAAACCTAAATTCAATATTCCAAATACAGTATTGAATTACAACTTGTTTTCAACCGATATCGCAACGCATATCACAATAACTTATATTGAATCCGTTTTGATCTGTGGCAATTCTAGTTTTAGGTCACAATGGGCGGTTTGTTTGTTTCACTTTTGGCGGAAAACACTGTGTCTCTCGTCTCATAGCTACCTATTAGATCTAAAAACTTTACATTTCAAAACGCAAAATATTTAAAATCATAGAGGAATCGAACCTTTCGATAAGTTGTCCTTAATTGACCTTTCCCAGACAGTTTTCACGTCCTGTGCACGAGGAAGACATGTCATAATGACGTCACACGACTTCACCACTTCGGCCGCTTCTCGGGTGAAGGTCACTCCCTGTGGTACAAGTTGACCGATTTCAGGGCGAGTGTCGCAAACAGCCGACAGGATAAATTGAGTGTTGTTTGCTTTGTGAATGTTTGTCATCAATACTAGGCCCACTTGTCCAATTCCAATGATTCCAACCTTCATTGCCGGTTGATTCTCCATTTGAGTTTTTCTCTGAATAATATTCTCGTGGATAAAAAAAAACAATCACCCCACCCCACTCCCATCTTCTAAATTACCAAGTGACCGGTATCCCCACAAAATAAGCAAAAATTTAAGCAGCAAGATAATCTGCAAAATGCTGAATAGTTCTGATTGCTAATGAGTATCTAGGATCTAGGATGCGGATATAAGATTTTCTCGAGGATGGGCGGATTTTCAAAAAAAAATCGAAAATTTTGTCGAACTTTTTTTGGGTCGACCAAATTGATGATTTTCTGAGCTCTCTCAAATTACTATAAAGACCCTTATTTAGAAAACAAACTCTGCGCTACAGGCAAATTTTTGATAAAACATGCCAAAAAAGCGTTTTTAGACTAAAAAGACTAAAATTTTTACCAAAAAATTGTTTTTTTTCTGAGTGCGCTTCCCCCTCAAAATTAGTATATTGGCGCCAAAGAAAATTTTTAGGGTCATTCAGCCAAAAAGGGATATCTCAAAATAGTTAAGAGGCGGGACCCTTTGGGTCGACATGGGTTCGAACCCTGAGGGGGGGGGGGGTCCGCGTTCATACGCCCCTCCTCAATAAATCCGCCCACGTGCTCTCGTTTTAAATAAGAAAAAGATTACTTAAGCTAAACCAAAAAATGAAAAAAAAACTGAAACAAATAGCAAAAGGATTTTTTAACCAGGGACACAACAGCAGTTTTACGTAAAAATCTGAACAGCTTAATGGTCCTTGTTTGTACATAAATAGTCTTAACTTCTATTAGCGTACAAAAAAGTCGACAAAAAGATTTCATGGCCTGGCGAACTTACCATGAAGGGGTGAAATTTCAAAGTGGGTGTTGTTCTTCGGATCTCTATAGCTATTCCCCCCTTTTGCAAAATGGCGGGGTGGGAGGTGTTGATTTGTTGATTTGTTACTAGGTACATAATTCACATATGCATAACCCTTCAATTATTTCTTTATTGATGTGGCCATTTGTTTCGCTGTGGGGAAATAGTTAAAGAGATCTGTTTTTTCTTACTTGAGCCATTAACTTTCACACCATCGAATGTCAAAGCTTATGCTGTTCAAACTCAGTTGTTTTGTAAAATAAGGGAATCAGTTGATCGTGTTTTTTTTATTTGATATTACCTAACCCTAACCCTAATCCTAACCCTAACCCTAACCAATTTCACAAATCCAGACTTTTGATTGCTTGAGCCATATCTCATACAGGCGGCAAAACAATTTAAGCATTATTGGCATTATGGGCTCAAACTTTGGATCAAATAGATTCTAGATTACGCTGAGCTAACACCTTTGTATGATTGAATGATAAGCAATACCAACATCTGTCCGACTTTGGTTCGAAGTTCACTGATCGGAAACAGGGCGTGTAAATTTCCATATTTAATTAAAAACCTAACCAAAAACTTGACTAACTGTGTACTTGGACCAATTTATATGCATTTGTAAGAATTTATTCATGACGATGAATGTGTATTCGAGAATTTTTAAGCATTTAAGCTATTTAGTTGGTCTTATTATTTCTTTAAATGACAAATTATCAACACTAACTAATTGATATTTGCTGCTGGGAGAGTAAAAACGACCATTTTAAAATAAGAAAGTAAGTAAAAAAATTTAAAAGTGTGAGTTATTAAACCCTATAATTATAGCAGGTAAAGGTACGGGTCGCAGAGTTAAAATATGTGAGTACAAAGCGAAAAATTGAGGGATCAAGTTCCGTTAGTTCCCTGTTTTTGCTTACTTTGATAGATTTTTATTGCTTTTTATCGTTTGTTTTCAATTTGAGCTCAACCCGGGTCGTGTTTTTTATAAACATTTTTAAAATGTTTTTCTTAGAGATGTTCTTACTTTTTACTAGACCGGGTTGAAAAAAGTCGCTATCTTAGAACTTCTTTTATAAGAACCTTACAACTTCTTACAAAATTAGGCTCTAAGAATGTTATAAGATAAGGATTTTTTCGTATAAGAAACTTATAAGATAGCGGTTTTTCTTAAAACAAAGATGTAAGATAGGAACTTTTCCTACAAAAAACTTTTTTTAAAAATTTGCTATTTTTTGTAATGTAATTTCCTAAGCTCAGGAAAGTTGCTATCCTAGATCACTTGTTATACAAGGGTCAACCCGCGAGAAATTTGGTCATATTGGGTTATGAGTTAGCATCTTGTCGGTACCCTTGTTTTTTGCTATTTCCTTGGCGATAATGTTATCATAAACGCGGGAAAAGCTCGCAAATAATTCAATTTAAGTGCTATCTAAACTAGTAAAAACTTTCAACATATGAGTTTGAGCAAATAAGTTACTGCGGCGCTAAATTAAAGCCATTATTACAGTAATCATGTGAAACTCATTAAATTTATGTATCATTTTGCTTTTAAACTTTTTAAACTAATTTTATAAGCTTTGTTAAATACCTTTTTATACCTAAAAATCATTGCAATTATGTTTTAGATTTTTTTGTACGGCTCTCTTCCAGTTCCCCCGCCCTTTTTGACTCTTTCGAAAACTCACTATACAAAAAAAATCAAAATTGATTCTTATGTTCTAATCTGAGATTAAAGGTGTCAGCATGAAAAAGTGAACTGCTACATCATTTTTTACATGGAAATTGTCGTATGAACAGTTCATCAATAATTATATTTTTTAATTTTGCGAGGGGGTGGGAAACTAGAAAAGAGTCTTTTGTATTTTTATGTCATCTCACCTGTGACGCATTTAACAGATTGGACCAGAGCTTGACGACTGTGCAAGAGCCGACCTGCTGGCCAAGATAGTGCAACTGTTGGTAGTTTATGTCGAGGAGACTCCTCATTCTGTCGACTGCTGTCCTTTTGCCTGCCACCAGGCAACACATTTCACCTCTCTTCAGAGCAGACAAGCCTGCATCACATAATCGAAAAGTTTTTTTGTATGTATTAGCTGGAGGGGGTGGGGTTTTGTTACTTAGCACACAATTATCAATTATGGCTGCGAATTTTCTTAAAAGTTCGTTTTTATAATTCAGCCGTTTTAGACAGCCGAGACACATCTTTTTGTCAAACTTTATTTAAAATAGATGTTAATTTACAAGGGAGATCGAGCATCAAAAAGTACCTTTTTTGGTCACATGAACTAAAAACTGCTCAAAAAGGCATTTTCTTCGAATAACTGCCTGCGGCGCAGACATAGTTTCTTCTCTTAGAACAAAAACTTTCAAAATTGATCAAAATTCTAGCCATTTTGCCTCTTTAAAAACTTTTTTTCTGGTTGTTACATTTAAGTTAAATTCGAATTACGCTGCCAGAATTAGGTCTTCCCATTCAGGGGCGGATCTAGATTTTTCTCGAGGGGGCGGATTTTCAAAAAAAATTCGAAAATTTTGTCGATCTTTATTTTAGGTCGACTAAATTGATTTTCAGAGCTCTCCCAAAGCCTTACAGAGACCCTATTTTGGCTAAAATTTCTGCGCCGTAGGCAAAACTTTGAAAAAACAGGTAAAAAAAATGCGTTTTAGGCAGTTTTTGGGAAATTTTGACCAAAAATCGCGTTTTTTTGGTGCGCGCTACCCCCTTAAAATTAATATATATTGGCGCCAAAGGCGCCTTTAGAAAAACTTTAAGGTCCGTCACCAAAAATGGATATCTCAAAACACTTCAAAGGGGGACCCCCCTCCTAAATTAGCCCCTGTTCCCATTGAATAAATGTAGTTATATCTGTATTTGCATTGAATAAATGTAGTTATATCTGTATTTGCATTGAATAAATGTAGTTATATCTGTATTTGCATATAGTTATTGGTAATATATGAGTTTGAGTTCAATCTCCCCCTTACCTCCAGTGATTGGCGCTTCGATGAATTGAGCACCCAGACAGGTGACTTCTCTGTCCAGCTGCTCATTCTGAGAATGGATACTGGAAGTGTGATCTATCCAGTACTGTCCTAAGAAAAAATCTTAAGTTAAGTGGGAAAAAGACGTTTTTCAACTTCGTCCAAACATGGCCATACTTTTGACCAGAATACATAATCAGGTCCAGGTGTCAGGTCACAGCATTAAAGTGCACGTAAAGTCCAAGCGAAACAGTTCCCCCCTACCCCAATTTTTTATTTATAACTTGTATTGCATCCGTTTTGAATTGTGGCAGTTCTAGCTTTAGGTCACATTGGGCAGTTTGTTTGTTTCACTTTTGGCGGAAAACACTGTGTCTCTCCTCTCATAGCTACCTATTAGATCTAAAAACTTGACATTTCAAAACGCAAAATATTTAAAATCATGGAGGAATCAAACCTTTCGATAAGTTGTCCTTAATTGACCTTTCCCAGACAGTTTTCACGTCCTGTGCACGAGGAAGACATGTCATAATGACGTCACACGACTTCACCACTTCGGCCGCTTCTCGGGTGAAGGTCACTCCCTGTGGTACAAGTTGGCCGATTTCAGGGCGAGTGTCGCAAACAGCCGACAGGATAAATTGAGTGTTGTTTGCTTTGTGAATGTTTGTCATCAATACTAGGCCCACTTGTCCAATTCCAATGATTCCAACCTTCATTGCCGGTTGATTCTCCATTTGAGTTTTTTTCTGAATAAAATTCTCGAGGATAAAAAAAAACAGTCACCCCACCCCACTCCCATCTTCTAAATTACCAAGTGACCGGTATCCCTACAAAATAAGCAAAAATTTGAGCAGCAAGCTAATCTGCGAAATGCTGAATGGTTCTGATTGCTAATGAGTATCTAGGATCTAGGATGCGGATATAGGATTTTCTCGAAGATGGGCGGATTTTCAAAAAAAATCGAAAATTTTGTCGAACTTTTTTTGGGTCGACCAAATTGATGATTTTCTGAGCTCTCTCAAATTACTATAAAAATCCTGATAAAACGTACCAAAAAAGCGTTTTAAGACTAAAAAGACTAAAATTTTGACCAAAAATTGTTTTTTTTCTGAGTGCGCTTCCCCCTCAAAATTAGTATATTGGCGCCAAAGAAAATTTTTAGCGTCATTCAGCCAAAAAGGGATATCTCAAAATAGTACAGAGGCGGGACCCTTTGGGTCGACATGGGGTCGAACCCTGAGGGGGGGGGGTCCGCGTTCATACGCCCCCTCCCCAATAAATCCACCCACGTGCTCTCGTTTTAAATAAGAGAAAGATTACTTAAGCTAAACCAAAAAATGAAAGAAAAACTGAAACAAATAGCAAAAGGATTTTGTTAACCAGGGACACAACAGCATTTTTCCGTAAAAATCTGAACAGCTTAATGGTTCTTGTTTGTACTTACATAGTCTTAACTTGTATTGGCGTACAAAAAAGTTGACAAAAAGATTTCATGGCCTGGCGAACTTACCATGAAGGGGTGCAATTTCAAAGGGGGTGTTGTTCTTCGGATCTCTTTAGCTATTCCCCCTTTTGCAAAATTGCGGGGGGAGGGGTTGTTTTGTTGATTTGCTACTAGGTACATAATTCACATATGCATAACCCTTCAATTATTTCTTTATAGATGTGGCCATTTGTTTCGCTGTGGGGAAATAGTTAAAGAGATCTGTTTTTTTTTCTTACTTGAGCCATTAACTTTCACACCATCGAATGTCAAAGCGTATGCTGTTCAAACTCAGTTGTTTTGTAAAATAAGGGAATCAATTGATCGTGTTTTTTTATTTGATATTCAAAAAAATAACCAATTTCATAAATCCAGACTTTTGATTGCTTGAACCATATCTCATACAGGCGGCAAAATTATTTAAGCATTATTGGCATTATGGGCTCAAACTTTGGAACAAATAGATTCTAGATTACGCTGAGCTAACACCTTTGTATGATTGAATGATAAGCAATACCAACATCTGTCCGACTTTGGTTGGAAGTTCACTGATCGGAAACAGGGCGTGTAAATTTCCATATTTAATTAAAAACCTAATCAAAAACTTGACTAACTGTGTACTTGGACCAATTTATATGCATTTGTAAGAATTTATTCATGACGATGAATGTGTATTCGAGAATTTTTAAGCATTTAAGCTATTTAGTTGGTCTTATTATTTCTTTAAATGACAAATTATCAACACTAACTAATTGATATTTGCTGCTGGGAGAGTAAAAACGACCATTTTAAAATAAAAAAGTAAGTAATTTAAAAAAATTTAAAAGAACTCGAGATGTTTTAAAAAGCAATCGGAAAGCTTAAAGCTTTTCCCTGATACAATGTGAACAGTTCTTATTTTTGCTGACAATTATAGAAAATTTGTACTCAATGTGTTTTCCTAGCCAAGCTTGACTTTTTGACTAGCCAAGTTTTAGCAATTTGATTTTTAAACGACCGTCTTGACATTAATTGCTTGAAAACAAAGCGCATGGGAGTACATTACGAGGCCAAACTGTGCATTCTGTGCATTGTAAGCGGATCCCGCAGATTTGCTACTTTTCTCTGATCTTCTTCGCTGTTTCCGATTCCACAAACAAAAACCTAAAAAACTGTACCGCTCAAAATCGCTCCGAAAATAGGCGCTTTTGCGGAATCCGCAACCGTACTTGCGGAATCCAGAATATTTTGTGGAATCCACAAACTAATAATAATACATTTGTTTAGTTAAATTGAGCTGTTGCGGATTCCGCAACTGTTAGCGGAATCCGCAACGTGTAACGGAAGTCCGCAAATTGTAAGTGGAATCCGCATTTTATTGCGGACTCCGTTTACATATATGTACATGGGTAGTATCCGCATTCCGTTTACATATAAAGTTATATCTTTTATTTACTGGTCACCAGAAAAATCAATCTCAATTACTACATTGATCAACTACAAGTTGAAATACCAAACGTTTGGTCTCAATTCCTGTCAACCCAACTTCGACCTCAAATCCCGACAACTTCGATCTCAACTTCGATCCCAAATGCTGACCTACTACTGAACTTCGATCCCAAACACTGACCTACCGATCCCAAATACTGACCTATTTCGATCTGAACTTCGATCCCAAATACAGATTCAATCCCAAATACTGACCTAAATTGTCGATATGCCTTGCGTTGTGTTTTCAAACACTCTCAAGCCAATGACTACAAATACTGAATTTATTCGGCGTTTAAGCTTCCAAAATGAGTATTTGGGATTGACGCAATCCCAAACACCGACCTTAATTGGCGATATGCTGTGTGTTGTATTTCTATACACTCTCAAGCCAATGGTTCCAAACATTGAATTTATTCGGAGTCGTGTTTCCAAAATATCAAAAGGTGACATCCACTGATTTAGTTAACAAATGTTTTGATGTTTGTTTGTGGATCCCGCTGACAATGATTAAGTCATTGCCTGTAAACTCCGCATTGCTATAGAGAAGAAGTACAGCTCTAGTTTTTAATTGTTCATTTGCAAGTTCAGTAATAAACAAATTTCTGAGTCCACTTACAGTTTGCGGAATCCACTTACATTTGCGGATTTCGCTTGCAATTTTGCGGATTCCACTTACATTTGCGGATTCCAATTAAATTATGTGGAATCCACTTACAGTTGCGGAATTCAGAACATTTTAACTATAATCGCTTGCTGCGGAATCCGCGGCAAAACAAATGTGCCGACAAAATTTACATTACAGGTAATTGTACGCGGAATCCACGAAAGTTTTGTAAGTGGAATCCACTTACATTTTAGAACATGTTTAAATGTTTGTCTAAGAAATCCAGGAACATACAGACACAAAATTTTGCGCCTATCCAGTGCACAGTTTGGTCTTGTAATGTATGTATTCAAAATGAAAAAAAAATTGAAAAAGTTTTGTGCAAAAAATTGCACGATGAATGCACGAAGCGGAAAAAATTAATGAACCATGACTACACGAATGATCCAGCTCCAATATAAAGGATCGGTAGCAGTTTTTTGGAAAAATTATAGAAGTTTTCACAAATGCTTATTTTTTTTTAGAGTTTCCCGTCTCATACAATGTCAAAGTCTCTCTAGTACATGCTACAACGTTGATCTAAACTATTCGGTCAAAATGAACAAACTTTGAAACTTTAAATGCTTATAATATCACTGGCATGATTTTGCTGTAATCTTTTTGCGAAATTCAGAACGAAAAACCTACCCCAAGAATTGGTCATTTTGAGTTTTTCGTTAATAAAAGTTTTTGCTGGAATTATTTCATGAATTGAAAAAATATAAATATCAAAAGAAATTTCTTACACAGCCCATCAAAATTTTGGAAGGGAAAAATCTGAAAAATTGATTTATAACTGTTTTTGAGCAAAGATTTTGAGTTTCATATAGTAAAAACGACCTTTTTTGGCTATCGACCAAAAACATATTCACCTATACAGATTTTTTGAGGATTTACTCATCTAAAGCTTTGTTGAACTGCCTAAGAAGTTTTTTATATGACTTTTTTCATCATTTATTGCGGTTGTTCCAGAGTAAATATTGATTAGCTTATAAAAGTCAAAATGACCCATTGTTTTGGGTAAATTTTTGGTTCTGAATTTCGCAAACCAAATTACCCCATAAAATTTCTGCTGACTTTCAAAGAATTTTACCAATTTCACTTTTTGTCTACTTTTACCCCAATTTTAGAAAAACGCGTTTGAATTTTCCAATCTTGGTTATTGAGTGTTTGGAGCAAATGAAAATGGTTAATAAAAATTGGAAACAATTTTATTGCGCTAACAAATTGCACCTAAAAAACCAAAAGGACAATTTTCAAACCTAAGTAAGATGCAAAAAACAGTCGCAGCTGTAAGCTTTGTTCAAAAACTTTCAGATCTGGATATCATGTTTTGTCAGCTGCGCCTAAAAGACATCATGGAGCGGCGACAGCCATGCAGATGCTGGGCGCTTATGTTTTTAAACGTTTAAATAATTCCATAGAATAAATGAAAAACATATCATTATAAAAAGAACGACAATTTATGCGTCTCTCCGAAAAAATGAAAATTTCTAAGAAATAACAGAATATTGATAACTGGGACAACTCTTAACTAAAAAATTAATGTTGCTGTTTTTTTATTATGAGAGTTATAAAAGAAGGTTTTAAATGTATTTTTTGACAGAAAAATGATATCTTGACTGATTTGATTTTTTCATCTGAGCTCTGATAACGGCACTCTTGTTGTCTGATTTTGGCGTGGTTGTTTATTGATTGTTCAACTTAAACTTCTGTGGTCTGAGTCGGATGATTCTCTTTGACTTGCACAACGAATGACTAGTCTTGTTTTTTGTAGGGAGCTCTTCGCTTTTTAAAAGTACAAGAATAAAAACTTGCAGTTAACTTCATTCAAACTCTCAATGCTTTTTACGTAGAAACGGCAAAAAATTGTATCAACCAAAATTAGTTCCAAAAGTTGTCTGTTTCTTGAAAACTTTAGTTTCAAAGCTATTTAGATTTGCTGAACATTACAACAACATGTATACACTGTTGTAATTTTCAAAAAAAAAACAAAGGTTTTTGCTGAACATTACAACAAAATGTATATACTGTTGTGAATTTCAAAATAACATTTTTTGTTTTCAACGCGAATTGGAAGCAGATGGCTTGATTCAGCATTGACTCCTCAGATCGTCGGTTTCACTTTGTTGTTCCAATTGAGTTATGAGCGATGTGGTTAACTCATAGAGTAATTTCGGATAGGGTACACCGTCTGCTCGTCACGCTATCTTATTTTCGGCCGGATATATTCGTGCAACTTCTTAGTCTAATACCGATCCTAATCTTACTCTTATACTATCTAGTCTCAGGTTGTTTAACTAGTCTCTGCTAGGCTCAATAGATCTAGGGTATACTGGTTTATTGCGGCTGCTGAAGTTCTCTTGGAGAGGCAACTAATTTCTAAGTTAAATTCAAATCTCTCTGGTGCTGAAATTACAAGTAATTTCAGCACTTACAAATAAGTGGGTTGTTAGTTAGATGGATCATGATTGGTTAATATTAAATACTTTACAGTGGTGAAATATCTAATTTATCCAATCATAAAATATAGTTTAGATCAAGTTCCACCCATCCGGGTTTTACAGAGTTTTTTAGAATTATCTTTCTGCAATTTAAAGGATGGATGATGGACGTTGGTATTTGGCGAACATCGTACTTTTGTCCGGTTTCTCTTTGTTAGAGAAGTTCCAGGACGCTGGAGTGAGGGGCATCAATCGTCGTGTCTTCTTGTGACAACGATGGTGTTTCGCAATGAAATCAATCTGATTTCAGAATGGTTTGCTATGACGGGTTTTTCTGTTTTATGTAGAGAACTTCTTTTGTGTTCGACCTCGTCTGGGAATGGCGTGGAGATTGTGCGTGGAGGGGATGCCTTGTAACTCGGATCTGTACGTATACTCGAACATCGATGTGGTCATTGGTCTAGTTCAATGAAGTCCTTTTCTGCGAAGTCAAGTCGTACTCTATATCCTTTGAGTTTGTCATTGTGGACGGCATATCGGTTTGTGGTTAGCCATTTTTTTTAAGTGTAGTGGGGTCAATTTGTCTTTGGATGTTCGTCTTTGTTGTTGTGTGCTGATCTATATACTACAAAGTATAGTTTACATTTTATAAAACTTTTATTAGTTCAGTGTTTTAATTATGATTTTGGTTAGTTGTTTTCACAAAAGCATTTTGTTTTAGTTCGGTTATTTTGAAAAGTTACTCACCCTTGAGTACCTCTTATTAAAAACAGAAGTGTGGTCACAAAGCGTGGATGTAGTGCGGTGGGTTAGGCATGCTCAGGACGTCCTCTCTGGTGGGTTAGGCCAGGAGTGGGAGTATGGTTTCGTGCGGTTTCTGTGAGAGGCCCTGTTATGTGATAACGTTTTATGTTGGGTTTATGGTG